GAAAAAAATGAGTCTTTGCTTGGTGTTGAAACTTCCAATGGTTTGCTTTCAAAAATGGTTTCAAAAGATGTTGTTTTCAAATCAAGTGTTGGAAGGGCATGGAAGCCCAAAAGTTTTATTGATAAGGGCCCATCAGTCTCATTTGAATCAAATCCAACAAGTTCTTTTGGGAATAGTTTGTTGGGTGGGGTTTAAAGTTCCATTCACCCCATCAAGGAGGGGATGCATATAAAGATTTTTGATCCGGGTTAAAAGAGCCCAACGTCTTGCTAGAGACGTTAAAGACTAGTGTGTTTCGTAGGGTTTGCAACCCTATTCTTCCTCATTTCTCGTTTTGATATTTTCTGCGTCGTCTAGATATGAGTTGAATTGAAAAATCTAGTTTTCGGAAAATTTCCTGCATTTTGTGCACTTCTAGTGAAGTTTCGATCGATCAAACTCCAGTTCGATGGATTGAAATTCCACTTCGATCGATCAAACCCACTGAATTTGTGACTTTTTGTGACACCCCCAAATTTTCACGTGTAGGTTGGCCAGGCCCACATCCAAAAATATGGGAATATCAAAACAATTTAGTATTTAAATGAACACAGAATACAAGAAGAAGAATAAAAATGAATTAATCGCTCAATGAAATTCTATTAATAAAATAAAACCTCCTTTACAAAAATAAATTTCATGAATTTAAAATTCTAAAATACAACTCGAAAATCCTATAAGTCAAGGACCCCTAAACCATAAACTATTAATTCACTAGACATCTAACAATAAATAACAATACTAAAAAGTAAATAAGATGAGTAGATGAATGATAGTCTCCCAGCTGCGGATCCTCAACCTCGAGACTGGAACTTCTACTAATAACCTGAAAAATAAATCGTGGCTTAGACCCACGAGTAAGTTCCCTCTACCAAGCCTCTGAAAACCAATAAATAAAATATCTCTAACCAAAATCATCCTAATTAAAGTTTTAACCTTTAATATAAGATGATACATATATATTATATATATAAATATATAAAGAGTATATTCATTAATATATTCCTTGAAATCTAAGACTATAAACAATGATAAGACTACTTTTATATTTAAACTAATCATCAAGTACATTCTACTTTTAAGAGAAAACTCATTTAATCCTAAATTACATATTTAAATAGTTATTTAACCATTTAAATAATAAATAATAATCCAAGAAATACTTTCCTTTAATCCAAATCCTAATTTCCACATATGTATGATTTTATTTATAAAGATAATATAGCAAAGATTTATACTTTGACAACTCATCCATGCCTACACTAGTATTATTTTATTAATACTATAAAATAATATAATATCCTTTAAATATTAGTTTATTCTAATAAGAATATTTATCACCTTTAACTTATAAGAATAATATTTATAGATGTATATTTAATCATCTAACTTACCTATCAATTTATTTATAATTTGGCAAATCATCCATGCCTCTACAAATATTTATTTATGTTTTGGCAAATCAACCATGCCTCTAGAAGTATGTTTATTTATACGATAGCAACTCAACCATGCCTCTACAAGTAATACATTTATACTTTGGCAAATCAATCATGCCTATTAAATGACAATCTGTTTATGTCTTGGCAACTCATCCATGCCTCCAAAAGTATGTTTTTTTATCCATACTATTAATTAGCAATTCACCCATACTTCCCATGTATGTATTTTATTCATACAATTAATAAGGCAATTTATTTATGCATTTAACAACTCATCAATGCCTCCAATTTAACCACGTACCAAACTTTACAATTAACTATGAAATAAATCATACATAGGCACTCCATGCAAGTTATAAGCATATAATTAATTTAAATAAATAACCTATTATGATTTCATCAACACCACCATCACATATATAAACATGATAAATATCAATGAACAACTTATTACTTGATTAGGTTATATTTATTTATTTATGTGTGGCAGTATAAGACGTATGTTACACAATTAAGCAATGTCTAAATAACACGTTACATGTTAAATATAAATATTAAGAATTATTTAGTCAACATCCAACCCATACAAATTATCCAAATTGGTTAAAACAATTATGGGATAATATATATATATCTACAAAATTCGTACTATCTTCCAATCCAGTTTTGACAAGGTAAACATCTGTTTAACGAAATTTTCGTGAAATACAAAGTTGTAGATAATTGAATTTCCGTTCAACTTCGCAAGATTTGAGCCATTTTGGCACTCGAGGAAAGAGATACAGACAGAATACTAAAACGGGAATTGAAGAAAGTTTCCTAGTTGAATAATGATTCTTCCTTTTCTTCTAATTAATTTCTTCACATGCATTTATCTTATGTCTAGGTGATTAACATGCTAATTTAATCTATAAATTTTGATACCCAAGGTGATAAACTTATGGGTTCTAAGAGGAGAGTCAGAAAATAACTTGCCTGAAGGTTTCGAAACGAAACCGACGCTTCAACCTTGTTTGTTTCTGTTGGATAAATATATGCTTCATGTGATATTTAAGATATAACAAATCTTATACTAATATGTCATTAGATAATTAACAATATGTTAAGAAATCATTAATTAAATATGCAACTCTATATTTAATTAAATATGCAAAATAAATTAATAAAATCATAATAATCAATAAAGAACCTGGACCGAGGCTAGTATTGAATACTATGTCCTTAAGACAGATTTGCCCCGCTATGGTGCTAACGGACTCAGTGGCGTCTATCTCCCAGGATACAACGGTCTACATCCACCAGTAGCAGCATTACAAACTCGTGGATACGGCGAACCTCCTCCGTGTAATACTCTCTCTGACTCAAAAATGCATCTATGCTATATAAATGCTGAACTGGATGCAATTCGAATCAAATGGTTCGAACCAATCTTAATATGGGTCGATGAAATTGGATTAGGGTCTAAGTGGTTCGGACCACTTAACCTATGGTTTGAACCCACTTGGGTTGGGTTCAAGTCTAGAGAGGGAGATAGAAGAAAATGAAAATGAACTAATTGCAAATGATCCAAAGGGGGGTATTTATAGAAACAGATATACCTTTTCGGATTGGGTGTATCTCTTCATTATTGGACATAACCATTGCAATAGGTTGTAATGGTTCACATGGTGTCTGTTCACCACTAGACACATCTATTCTAATAGGTTGCAATGGTTCACGTGGTATCTGTTCACCAATAGACACATCCATTCTAATGGTTGCAATGGTTCACATGGTGTCTGTTCACCAATAGACACATCCATTCCAATAGGTTGCAATGGTTTCATTGGTGTCTTTTCGAGTGGGTGCAACCATGGGTTATGATGGTTCGGAAAAAGGTGTAACCCTTTGAAAAAAAAACTAAAAAGTGGTTTTTTAATTTAAAAGGTGTAACCCTTTAGAAAAACTAAAATATGGTTTTTTAATTTAAAAGGTGTAACCTTTTAGAAAAACTAAAAAGTATTTTTTTTTTTTTTTAATTAAAAAGCCAACCACCCAAAAAACCCACTCATTTGTGAAACCCATTTAAATAAGTCCAGCCCAAAATTAGGCCCAATCCAAAATTCAAAAAAAAAAGAATAATCTGGACTTTACAATTAGGCCCAAGCCCAAGCCCAAATCCTAAACTCAGCTTATTTAAATTTCAATTTGTTTCAACATTTTTTCCATGTGGGACAAACACTTCCCACATTTTGCATACCCATTTAGGCTTATCAAAACACCACACTTTGGAGCTAATTTCTCATTCATCCGGAAATGGATTTCAGAAAGTAAATATACCACGTTCATCTCCTTGCGGAGAGAAACGCGCTTGTCTAGAGATCCGTAAAAAATTATTAGCGGAATCTATTTCAAATCTCATCCAAAGTTTATGTTTTTAATGCCCCCGTTTCCAACAGTTTCTTCTAAATACGACGTCCTCTTTCTTTGATCCGGCCCTCTCGTTGTTAGACTTCCCTTCTTCTTTTTCTCTGCTTCTCTTATTTTTTTTCTAACGTGAAAAACCTTTTAACAATATAACCTTATGTGTATATTTATACACACTAATACCCTAATCCTATTCCTAGTATGATTACCCAAATAAAAATAATAATAACCGTAAATAAAATATATACACATATATTATATTATATATATATAAAATTATTTATGATATATATATATATATATATATATATATATATATATATATATATATATATTCCTCACACAATAAAAATAAATAATATATATTGCTAATTCAAATCCTCTACCATGTAGGACTCTAGTTATATTCATATACATGACACATATAAATATAAATAAATAAATAATATATATTGCAAATTAAAATCCTCCTTCATGTAGGACTCCAACTATATTAATATACATAAAACATATAAATATAAATATATATATATATTTATAAATCCTTTTTAACTATACTTACCATATATATGCATAAAGTCCTATACATATATACTTACTATAAATATATAAATATATATATATATATATATACACACACTCATGCATAAATCCATGGGCCTTTAAACCATCCCAAATCCTTTAAGGTTTCATTCTCCAATCCAAGATCCAAATCCTTTGGTCCAAATAATCCAAACCCAATCCATTAAATTTAAATAAATAAACACTTAATATTAAAACAACTAAATACATGTAGCATATAATCAAATAAAAATGAACAACCAAGTCATACTATACAAATAAAAATCAACACACCAACAAATCAATCAACAATCAAGTACATCATCATACCAATAAATCAAATAAACAAGTAAACAAATAATTAATTTAAAATAAATAAATCCATTAAATTCATTTAAAGACAATTAATTCAATTAAATAATTACTCTAAAATATAGAGGTATTACACTTTTCACCTTCCAATCCGATCGATCGAAATCCATCTCAATCAATCGAAATCCATTTGAATTGATCGAAGCTAAGTGTTCAATCGATCGAAGTCCTTCGATCGATTGAAAATGTGTCTTTTGAAATTCTAGAAAATGCTTTGGCCGTTCATCTTCCACCCTAAACCCTAATTTTTATTTTATTTTATTTTTCCTTTTTCTCCTTATTTTTCTTTTTCTTTTTTTTCTTTCTTTCTCTCTCTTCCTCCATTTCTCTTCTCTCTCAGCCAAACCCCTCTTCTCTCTCCCCGATTTCTCAAACTCTCCCTCTTATCTCTTCTCTCAATCTTCATCTCTTGATCTCCCCTACCCCACAATCGCGAGACCACCAACCCCAACCCTCTTCTCCTCTCTTGCCCACGAGCCCAAGGAACCCATTCTTGCCCAAGAGTGGCCAAAACCGGTATCAACCTCTCTTTTCTCTCTTGGATTCTCTTCTACCTATCTTCTTCAGCCGATTTAGGCCAAGGAGAGTTCGTTCCAAGCTCTGACGATTTTCTAAAAAATTTGGCAAGACTCAGGCGAGTCTCCGGTCATCTTCTCCGTTCACGGTAAAGCCGAAAAGCTTCGATTCCTCATGAGTTTCTCTCTCTTCACTCCCTCTTCCAATCTTTGGCCTGGGTAAGTTGATTTGCATTTTTTTTAAATTTTTATCTTATTGTATTTCATTTATTTTCTTTATTTTTTATTTTCATTTTTGTTTAATTTTTATTGTTGATTTTTATTTTTGTGAATATTCTATGTATATGAAAAATTAAAAAAATGGAAAATAGAAAATGGTATATATATATATATATATATATATATATATATACCATTTTCTATTTTCCATTTTTTTAATTTTTCATATACATTTGAATTGAAAAATCAAAATCAAAATTAAAAATATATAATGAAAAATTTGCAAAAACAATGACCTTTGGATTGTAACTGTTGCTTACTTTGTTTTTGGTTGAATGGAGGATGGAAAAATCAAAATTAAAAAAAAATATATATATATATATATATACCATTTTCTATTTTCCATTTTTTTAATTTTTCATATACATTTGAATTGAAAAATCAAAATCAAAATTAAAAATATATAATGAAAAATTTGCAAAAACAATGACCTTTGGATTGTAACTGTTGCTTACTTTGTTTTTGGTTGAATGGAGGATGGAAAAACATTGATGAAGAATGGAGTATGGTAGTGTAGTGTAGAAGGAGAATGGGCAATTATTGAATATAGATTTTGATTGTGGGCGGTGTCCCTTTTACCGTGTTGAATAGAACTTAAGATTTTGCCATGATTGAACTATGTGAATGCTTGAGAATTGTTTGACTAAATATATGCATGATTATTTGCCTTTCTTGAAATTTGTGAAATGCATATTTTAAGGGGAACCCATGCCGAATTTTTTTATTTTATTTTATTTTTTTATTTTTTAAATTGAACTTGTGTTGTGGTCTTACATTCTCTAATTGGCAATTAGTTAACTTTTGCAGGTTTGAATTGAAAAAGGGAAATTGCAAAAGAGAATTTAAAGTTAGATTTTTTAATTGAATTGAAAGTTGTCTTGTGATTCTTGAATGGATTTGAAATTTGAATGTCATGAATTTGGAAAGTTTGTTTCGGAATTTGAAATGGAAACTTACTTCTCAAAATGATTTTGATTTTATTTTTGGAAGAAATGGATTGAAAATGGACACTTTTTGAACTTGAAATATTCTTGACATTTTGAACTTGTAAAGGCATTGAAAAATTTGAATTTTTGTGATCATATGACGACCCTGGATTTTTCAACCTAGTGTGTCCTGTGATGACCCAAAACGGATCAAAAATGTGGAAGCAAAAGATAGAACAATGGTCTCTAGAGATACAACACTCCTCTAAGACACCAATGTGACCCTCAACGAGGTCACGAAACCCAAAGGAAGAAAATACGGAAGCAACATTTAAAAAACGGATTAGAATGAACCTAGGGGCAAAATGATCATTCCACACTAAAATGGGTGCCACTGTGCACACCATTGAAAAGACAACGAAAAATTAATAAGGATAGACTCAAGAATCACTTGATTCGGAGTCCGGACGACAAAGATATCAAGTTCTGAAGTCGAAAGAAGGGAAACCCTATCCCGGTTCGAACCAAAAACAGACACTACCTTACTAAAACTTGAATAACTTGAGCCTCAAGAATAATCTTAAACTCTAATTAGTAGCATTGGAAAGCTTATTTCGACGCAATCAATTTAGATTCAAGAACGGACCAATTCGGAGTTAAAACGAAGAAGATATGATGATTTGAAGTCGGAGGTGCAGTGCTGAACCAAGACACACACACCCGTGAACAGTACTTCGAGCACTCGAACAAGGACTTTGAGTGCTCGAAAATTGCCCTAAGAAATCTGCCCAAAGTTCTAGCGCTCGAACTCCCTATTTAGAGCGCTCAAACTCCTGTAGGCTGCTCCTAAAATGCTGACTTGAAATGCAATTTTGAGAACTTTCTGGGCCTTTTTGAGAAAAACACAAAGAAGAAACTACCCTCAAAATCATGTTTCCTAGCCAACCATGCCAAAAGAAAACTTTATTTTTCAAGTGAAAACCTCAAAATGCTCTTATGCTCAGTTTAGGCTCAAAACGGCAAAAAAATGTAAGTTTGCACCAAACATACTTTTGACCCCAAATGCACTTCTAGGCTGAAACGAATATGCACGCAAACCTAATAAGTGATTTTGAGCGCGCGGAAATGGTCCGCGGCTCCAGAAAACGACCGATGCAAAATCCAACCCCCTGACGGCCAAAAAGGCGAAAATGAATTTGAAATGGAAATTTTGAAAACCAAAATTAGCAAATGGTTGGAAATTACCCTTTGGCCCTTGGCCACACTTCATGCATGATTAATGAGATCCTATGGAAGAATCAAAACGGAACTCCCACACCCGATGCAAACATAGTGAGACAAAACTTAACATTTTTTCATTATTCTCATGATATTTCATGAAGTCAAAACTACATAGAATACAAATACATGTCATTGGCCTTCGACCTCATCTTATACATGTCAAATACATTGTAAGGAGTACACTCATATGCACATTACATGTTTAAATTCAAATATACATTTTTTGACATATAAGGCTACAAATGGCTTTTCAAGCCAACCTTTACAAGAAATGAAAATCTTCAAGTCCACCAATCATCCAAGCATGACGAGAATTGCAACCTTGATTCTTGTACCTGAAATATCCCCCAGTATCGTAGGGGTGAGTAACATAAAGCTACTCGTAGGAAATGAGCATGCATCGACCTACGTTTTACAAGTTTGCATGATTTAATTATTGTGATTCATTCCACCTAACGTCTATGTCAAAGGTGAGACTCAAGGAGCATCCTAGCTACCTAGGATTATTTCTAGCATCAATCACCTCATTCATGCAATTTTAGCAACATAGGGTCATGCTTACATAAAGCAACAACATAGGAGCATGCTTACACAAAGCAACAACATATAGATTCTCAAGGTAATCAACTTGAAGTTTAAAATGCAACATCAACTAAATATAAAAATTTAGCATAATTAGAATATCTAATACCACACATCAAGACATAGGTTCTCTAGGTTATCAACTAGAAATCTAAAAGTGTGAAATCAACTAAATATATCAATTTAATATGGATGTACTTAACAACATCAAAATCGCCAATAACTAAAACCACAAGTTACAATATAAATATGATTGTTAACTTGGAATTGAATGCGAAAACAAATAATGGAAGACTTGGACATCTAAGCTCGGAATTCTGCCGAGATCTCAATGGTTATTCCGGGCACTAACCCGCAGGGAAGACCACCCTAAGTGCGCACTACCTCAATGACTTAGAGGACTCACGTCCCTGTACTAGAGCCAAACCTTAGCCATCTTAACTCAACAATGTTCCAATATTCCAAAATTAAACCAAATAAGTTCGCAACTTATACATAACTTATATAATGCATGAAAACACCTTGCATGCACAAGTAGGTTGAAACCACACAATCCATGCCTTAGAGTTTCAATTCTAAAATGACATACATAATGTTAATTACAAAGTGTGCAATTCACTACACATGGCATCAATATATTCTATAAAGAAAACATGTTCTCATGAATATAAATATAACAACAAAGTTGTCCAATGCTCAAAACACAATCAAGTGAATACATAACAAGTTCAAGTCTATGATTTGAATATAGAAACAACTTCTAAAATACCAATAGATCCACGGAGCCATTAGATAGAATTTAATTAAACAAGGTGATTAAATTCTCTAGATTTCAAATAACCTCAAATTAATATATGTTAAGCAACATATCATGGTCTTTACATATATCATATCAAAAGTGCAAAATAAGCAAGATATCATCAAATAGAATTTAATTAATTTAAATCAATTAAATCTCTAGATTTCAAAAGTTGTCCAAATGATCTCAAATTAATTTATATCAAGCACTAAGTCATGGTCATACCATATATCTAGTCTAAGATGGATTACAAGCAAAACACAATTTACTATAATTTAAATCAAATTAAATCCATTTATTCTCTAGATTTGAAAACTCATCTAAATCAATCCAAATTAATATATATCAAAGATCAACTCATGGCCATGCCATTTACCAAGTCTAAAATGAGTTATAAGCAAACTACCATTAATCATAATTTCTCAAATTAATACACTACATGCATACAAGTTGTATAAGCATAAAAAACATGCAAGACAACAAACATATAACCCTATAACATTCCCTACCTCACTAGAGAAGTGTCTCTCTAGAATCCAAGGCAAAATCAACACAAAATGGAAAACCCTTCTAGGTTATGAAGGAGAAGATGAGGGGAACAAAATGTATTCCCAAGTTCAAGCTTGGAAATCAATAGAAGGCTCTCAAAAATCAAGGTCAAAGCTTAAGGCTTTAGGCTCCATCCATGGAGGTTAGGGTTTTCTTTACAAGAGAGGGAGGAAATGAAAAATGATGAGGATGAAATGTGAGTGGAGGGGATAGAGATCCTCCACTCACTATGTGCTATTACACTACCTTACACACACACACTAATGCAAGATCAAATTGTGAGCCTACACTTGTCACAAATCCAAGGCTCCATCCTAGGCTAAATCTCAAGCCTACACTTGTCAACCATCCAAGCCAACAAGTGCACCAATCCTAGGCCAACAAGTGGTTAATCTCTACCCTCCACATGTCCTCATCCAAGGCCTCAAAATGTTTCTACACATATCACAACAAGTGGACCAATGAGAGTGTGACACTTGTCATACTTTCCGGAAATTACAAAAAAATCCTTTTTGAAAATATCTTCCAAATTAAATTGCAAAATGGTCCCTAAGACGAAAAATAATTACTTTACAGTAATTACACAAAAATCCCTAAAGTTTAGTAAATTACAAAAAAGTTATGCATCTATACCCTTTACAAGAAAAGTAAGCACTTAGCATGCTTTTCTATAAAAGTGAAAATACACATAGTATGGATTTTAAATATCGTGGATGCATGCAAAACCGGAATCAAATCCGAACACGAAAAGTGAGGTTATGCTAACAAAGTGATAACCGAGAAAAAGATGAAAGTGAATAGTG